TCACATCAATGAAGGAGAGCAGAGTCCTGAGTGAAGCATTTAACTTAATCAGCTGGGGATTGTTGGATGAAGGAATAGAAAACATAAGCAAAGTGAAAGCTCAGAATGCGTCACCTTCCCCTCCTCCCTACATCCAGGTTAGCCTTACAGACAGGCCAAGTAGTGAGTAGCTCACAGAGTGGAATGTGAAAGATGCTGGTTATGTCTACTTCCCCTCAAAACATCTTTCCAATGCCCTCCTACCCCCCTTGTTCCTAAAGTCCCCTAGGCCTTTAATTCCTTGGGGTTCCTGTGGCCTCTCAAAGTGGAAATATACCTGGAAGAAGAAACAATAAACTGAATTACTAACATATAATCATTCAGAAAATATTTAGTAAGCACCAGAATCTGAAGAGGTACTTAGAGATGCACCAGAATCTGAAGAGGTACTTAAAGCTGAGATTATTATCTTCTTTTTACGGATGATGAAATTGTGGCTCAGAGTGTCTGAGTGACTCATTCCAGATGACACACCTGAGCCCCATTTTCTGAACCAGAGCTCAGACTTGGGTCTTCCGATTTTGTGTTCTATGCTCTTTCCTTTCTATTACAGTAACTCAAGGGGTTTATAGGTGGGAACTCAAGACAAAAGTACATGAATAGTTAAATAACAATTCAAGATAACAGTAGAAGTAATGTTAGAAGACAATAAAAGTGTCCAATGACTGACAGAGACAATAATTGCTCTAGGAGTGACCTGTAAGGTCACTGTGGGTAAGAGTCAACAGAGAAGGCCTCGAACAGGAAGCAGGACTAAAGCCTGGCCTTGGAAACTGAATAGAAAAAGGGCAGCCCAAGAAGAAAGGGAGGGCATTCCAGTGTGGGGGACAGGAAAAATAAAGACAGAGGTGAGAAAATCCAAGTCTTGTTTGGAGAGAGAACGAAAAGACAAATTTAGCTAGATCTAGAAGAGAGACTTTTACTGGGGGATAATGGAAAATAAGATTCAAAAGACCCTCTTGAATTTCTGACAAAAGGATTTTGACTTGTGGACAATAGTGAACTATGAAAGAATTTTGAGTAAGACAGTGAAACTCTGAAAGCAGTGTGTGGGTAGACTAATCTGGCAATATGCATTTTAGAGGATGCCTTTCGATGGGAAGAGATTGGAGATAAGGAAGACTAGTTAGGAGCCTAAGACAGTCAGGGATAAGGTGACAAAAGCCAGTATTAGAATGGTAGTGCTGAGACTAAAAGGAAGGCCAATTGTAATTGGCAAGATGAAGAAAGAAATGTCAGAACCTGTGAAATAGGGAGAGACAAGAGTTGAACTTGCCTGAGAGTTTTCAAGCCTAGCTGACTTGAAAGACGAGGCCATGAACAGAAATTAGCAAGACAGGTAGACAAACTGGTTCAGGGAGTTTTGCTTTTGACATCTTGGGGTGGAATTAACAAAGGAAGGTCCAAGTGAAACTGTCTAGTAGGCAATTGAAGATGTAGAGGCGGAGGTTGGGAGAAGGGAAGGCCTAGAATTGAGTTGGCTTGAAGTAATGGTATATAAGGAGCCCTGGGAGTCAGGAGACCTGGGACTTTGCCTCTTCTCTGCCACTAACTTACTGAGTCATGGGCAAGCCACCTCTCTGGGCCTATTTCCTTCAATGTAAAGTGAGGAGGTGCGCAGACCCTATATGATCTCTGAGGTACTCTCAAGGACTATGAGTCACCTGCATGTATGTTCTCTCCAAGGCAAAATCAACAGTCCAATGAACAAAGGGCATTAAATAATCCCCAAATGCTATGACTCTGTGACCGATCTCAGGAATGCTATTTACTTAAGGAGCAAAAGAGAAGTCAGCAAAGGAGATAGAAAGCAATCAGAGAGATAAAAGCATGAGGAGAGAAATTCTAAAGCGAGAGGATAAAATAAGGAACTAAAATTAAAAGTATCACAATAAATAAGATAAATATTTACATCAAATAATGACAAAGGGATAGCATGTATATTAAGTAAAGAATACATGGGCCGGGCGTGGTGGCTCAAGCTTGTAATCCCAGCACTTTGGGAGGCCGAGACGGGCGGATCACGAGGTCAGGAGATCGAGACCATCCTCGCTAACACGGTGAAACCCCGTCTCTACTAAAAAATACAAAAAAACTAGCCGGGCGAGGTGGCGGGCGCCTGTAGTCCCAGTTACTCGGGAGGCTGAGGCAGGAGAATGGCGTAAATCCAGGAGGCAGAGCTTGCAGTGAGCTGAGATTCAGCCACTGCACTCCAGCCCAGGCAACAGAGCGAGACTCCATCTCAAAACAAACAAACAAAAAAAAGAATACATTTAGATATATAAGAATACCACTAGGGTGCCAACTGAAGAAAGATGCAAAGAGTAAACATATGGGAAAGAGTTCAATCCCATGAGTAATCAAAGAAATGAAAAAATATGAAAATAATATTTAACCATCTAAAGAGATTTCTTCTAAAGTCCAATGCTAGCACTGCAAGGGAACTGGAACAACTCATATGTCATTGTGGTGTGGAAAATTTTTGCAGTCCTTTTGGCAATCATGATCCATAAAAATGTTCATGCTCTTTGGTCTGGTAATCCCGCTTCTGGGAACTTATCCTAGAGACAGAATTACAAAGGAGAAAAAATCTATACACATTAAGATGTTCAAAGCACAGAAAAATTGAAATATATCTAAATATTCAATAATAGGGGAATAGTCAAATAAAATGTAATCTACTGACAGGTATAATTTTATGAGGCAATTGAAATAATAGACATGAAAGACTATAGCAACCAGGGAGAATATTTACAATAAAAGGTTTCTAGGCCAGGCGTGTAATCACGCCTGTAATCCCAGCACTTTGGGAGGCTGAGGAGGGCAGATCACTTGAGGTCAGTAGGTAGTTCGAGACCAGCCTGGCCAACATGGTGCAACCCTGTCTCTACTAAACATACAAAAATTAGCCGGGCGTGGTGGTGCATGCCTGTAATCCCAGCTACTCGGGAGGCTGAGGCAGGAGAATCACTTGAACCCGGGAAGTGAAGGTTGCAGTGAGCCGAGAATTGTGCCACTGCAGTCCACCCTGGGCGACAGAGCAAGACTCTGTCTCAAAAACAAAAAAGAAAAGAAAAGACAAACGACAGCAGGGTTAAGGTGTCAGTGGTAATGCTTTGTTTTTTTGTTTGTTTGTTTGTTTTTAAGGTGGGATAAAATGGGTGATGGAAGAGACTTGAAATAATGAAGAGAGGTAAACAAAGGAATAAGAAAGGGGTCCACCTCTTATTCTGGGAACTTCAGGGAAGAAAGGGAGAAAGACAGGGCAAATATAGAGTAGTTATCATGAATGATAACTGGAAGTTGAAGCGTTAGAGCTTCTCAGTTTTGCAGGAGGCAAGGTAACTCTCTTAAGAGATCACAAGAAGGAGATGAATTTGGGGCTTTGTGGAGGTGGAAAAGACAGGAAACAGCTGCTGTGGAATGTTCTCTACGAACACACCAGGCTAAGAGGAATGAGAGCTTAGACGTAGCTCCAGGATGTGAAGTTTTAGTGAGTCAAGCCAGCCTTGTCCTCTGGTTTCATCTGCAATTTCCTCCAGTCCTAGAAGAAAGGAGATTGGCCCAAGGTGAAAGTCAAGGTGTTTAAAGCTAAAGTGCAAGGGAAGACAGCCCTAAAGTAATAGATGAGAAAATTGGCCTGAGTCAGTTGGGATGGAAAGAGCAGCTTTACTGGGTGGGGACAGCAGGTTAGGGGAGGTGATGGGCAAAGAGGCCATGGTCATAGGAATAAAAGGAAGAGAGTGCAGATGAGGAACAGTGTATGTAACAGTGGCTGTGAGACTGGGAGAACCAGTAAGAAGAGGAGAAAAAAGTTGGTTCATTTACTCCTAATGGCAGGAGTCCTGCGTAGCAAGAAGGTCCTGGATGTCTAGGGAGAAAGTGGGAGCCTTTCAAAAAACAAAAAGGGAAATTTAGGAAAACTGAAGTCATTTTTTTCTGCAGTCCAGCCCCAGCCCTACTCTACGGAGAGAGACCCCTTAGAAGCCAGTAAGAAGTTGGTATCATTAGATAAGTAAGAGATCAGAGACAGGTCAGCAAGGGTGGGAAAAAACGAAAGGCAAGGCTGGGATCTGACTCAGGAGACCAACAGGCTGGAAGGTGATTTCAAAGGGAGAAGGCCTGTAAGTGTGAGCCCACCTTTCTCAAGAATGCCTGCCAAGAAATTCTTACTTCCCAAGGCTTAGGGGTTAGCTTCTCAATTTCCAATGCACCCTGCTCCCCTCCACAACTTGATCCTATAAGCCTGTAAGTGCTAAGATGGCACTGGAAGAGAGAAGCAATGAATGGATGGGAAACTTTAAAAGGAACCTTCCCAGTCCTAGTGCTCCACCCTGGCCTCAAAGTCCTGAAGCCTGATCTGAAAGAGCTGGTGACAGATTTATCATTTATTTGGTGCAGGAGCTAGAGAAAGGGGAGAAATCAGTGAAACGCTAGTTCTGGGCGTCAATTCCTGTCGCCACCATCCTCTGCACAAATCTGCTCTACTCCTCAATGCCGGAACTTACAGCCATAGACATGAGAGCTCCACCCCCTCAGTCTGAGCCATCCACTTGTCCTTTCGTTAAGTACAGGAGAGCTGTCATATACATGTTCTGAGCAAACATCATAAAGAAGGTCCAGTCCCATTCCTGTCCTAAAGGCTGTTATCAGCTAAGGTCCCCACCCCATCACAGGACTTTAATTCATGCTGCGGACTAGTTCAACAGTGTCAGGCCCCCAGCTATATGCGGGGACCCTGGCATGCAGGCTCCCTGGGATCACACCCTATTGCAGTGCCTCGGTAAGCAAGACTATGCTGTCTTTGAGGGAGAACCAGGAAGTTGGTGTGGGTGCTGCATATGGCACATCCTTGGCATCTGTGATATGGAAGTTGCCTCCACTTCCTGATTCTGGTTATCACCATCAGATACGTCAGGCCAATCCTGAGATGACTCTGCCTGATCCACCCCTTCAGCTGAATGCTCTGGTCTGGCTGGAGAAACACATGCTATAGGAGGCTGTGGGGGAAATGGGACAGGGAAAGAGGACTGGGGAAGATTTTCAGGAAGACTTGTAGGATCAATGGCCCCAGGAAGGGACAGAAACAATGAGAAAGGAGTAGAAGACTGGCATTGGCTAAAAAAGAGTTAGCAACTGAAGGGGTTATGAGAGATGAGATCACCCATAATGTCCCTGTCTCCCTGCAACCCTCAGGGCGAGGGCTTCTATCCAGAGCCTGGAAAACAGGAGGAAGCGCCTTACCAGGTATCACTATTGGGTTCCCTCACCTCTGCCCTGCACTCACCCCCTTTTCTCTCACTTCCCGGCTTCCCGTGTTACAATCTATCTGCCCTAGGAGTAGAGAAGCTACTGTTGTCCTGGGGGGTGGCTGCCCACCTGCAGCTGCTATCCTCAGGCAGAGACACTAGTGCCAGGGAAGAGGCAGCCGTGCGGGGCTGGGGCTTGCCACCACCACAGAGCTGATGGAGCTGACGTCGATATTTGTCCCCAGTGAGCAAGTAGAGCACAGGATCCAGGCAGCTGTTGGCACTGGCCAGAGGCCGAGTCACTTTATAGACCACGTTGACGATGTTCAGCACTCGGCAGTCAGCTTCCAACAGCCTTGCCAGGTAGTAAATGGTGCGGGTGATGTGGAAAGGCACGAAGCAGACAGCGAAGACGGTCAGCACCACAGCTATGGTGCGAAGAGATCGGAGACGAGAAGAAGACTGTGCAGCGCCTGGCAAGGGCCGATACAGGCGACGGGCCATGAGCCCATAGCAAACAAGAGTGACCAGGCAGGGCACGCCAAAGAGCAGCCCCATGACCGCCGAGCTGAAGTGCACATAGTGGTCAAACTCTTCAGGCCGAGTGGTGTCATGGCACAGGACGGTGTTCCCTCTGGTGCTGGTTGTGACGAAGAACAGGTTGGGCACGAGGCAGCCGGCTACGACCAACCAAACTGCCAGGCAGATAAGGCCTGCGAGGCGAGGGCGGCCCCAGCGTAGTGCCCGAAGTGGGTGGCAGATGCCCAGGTAGCGGTGCACGCTAATGCAAGTGAGGAAAAGGACGCTGCAGTAGAGGTTCCAATAGAAAAGAAAGCGGACGAACTTGCAGATCTCAGTGCCAAAGGGCCAGTGGTTGCGGGCTGCATAATAGTAGATGAGGGTGGGCAGCGACAGCACATACAAGGTGTCTGACAATGCCAGGTGGAACATGTAGGTGGCAGTTGCATCCCAGGGTCGGAGGCGGAAGATGAAGAGCCATAGGGTTGGGGCGTTGAGGCCCAAGCCCAGCACAAAGACAACTGCATAGCTCACAGGAAGCAGGATGAACTTGAAATCCTCATCAAACCAACAGTCCAGCTCCACCTCACTGCTGCCAGGACCTAGGCTGAGGCCTATGGATCTCAACAGCGAGGACTCTGTACTGGCCATGGCCCCCCTGGAGATGGAAAGGGGAGAAGTGAGGGTGGCAGGATTTCCCTGCCCACCCCTATCCCTGAGCTGGGGCAAAAAACGCAGAGAGCAGGGAGAGCAGTGGTTGAAGCACTAGAGAGAGCTGACAGGAGTGCATCTGGGTGCACTCAGGCTAGCCAGGCCCCTACCCAAGCTCCCTTGGTCCAGCTTGGGGAGTGGTGGGCAGCAGGCAGTGCTGGGGCTCAGGCAGGCAGCCCGTGGGTTTGGGTTGTTCTCACTCTGCAGCTCACTCTGTCCCTAAGACCCTGGCTAGCTTAAGAAGGTGGAGGCCTCCCAGCACTATCCAAAGTGGGAAGATACCCAGACACAAAGTGTCTCCTGACTCCTCATCACAGCTGTGTCCCTGGAAGAGGAGTGTCTCTCCCCACAGTGCCTTCGCCTCTCCTAGTGCCCTGGTCACAGTGTCTCCAGATGACATTTACCTATGACACCTTCCCCACTGCCCGCCTACAGCCCAGGAGCCCCATTGCCACCCTTGCCCAAGGACCTTGGCACGTCTCCTACCTGGTCCCCTTGAAGCTGAGCTCGGCTGACTCTGTCACCTTTCCCCTTGGCAGCCAGAGGGCATATCCAAGGAGGTGGAGTTGGAGGTGGGGCCTGTCCTCCTCCCATCTGGGAGATCCAAAGAGTTAGAAAGGCCCTTTACAATGACCTAGTCCAACCCTACTCATTGTACAGATTGGGAAACTGGGGCCCAGCGAGATTACTATTTAACAGCTTTGAAATGACTGCAGGAGGAAGCACACGAGGAAACATCCAAGTTTACCGATGAAGAGCCAGGCCCCTGGAGATAGATTACAGGGGGATCATACAAGTCTGTGTAAGTGAGCAGAAACATGGGAAATGAATTTTCACATGGGCAAATGCAGGACAACACATTGAAAGATTTTAGAAAATCTAAACTACTGACATTTAATACAAATCTCAATCTCATATGCATATCATTACAACGAATGCTTATATAGCACTTAGTATGTGACAGGAATTTTTCTAAGTGCTTTATACTTATTAATGACTCCATAGGTTCTCTATGAACTAGGTACTATTATTGTCTCTGCTCTGCTGATGAAAAAATGAAGGCACAGAAAGTTTAGGTGTCTTGCTAGTTAGTGGTAGAGTCAAGATTTGAACCAAGGCAGGCCTGCCTTTGGATCAGGCTCTAGCATCCATGACTTAATTGCTGTGCTTAAGTTGCCTCTCTAAGCCACTAGCTATGATCCAGGAAAGAATCAACAAATATTTATGGGAGACAAAGGCAGGCAGATCTCTTGAACTCAGGAGTTCAAGACAAGCCTGGACAAAGTGGCAAAACCCTGTCTCCACAAAAAATACAAAAAATTAGTCGGGCGTGGTGGCATGCACCTGAAGTCCCAGCTACATGGGGGGCTAAGGCAGGAGGAGAGCTTGAACCTGGGACGTTGAGGCTGCAGTGAGCTGTGATCGCGCCACTGCACTCCAATCTGGGTGTCAAAGTGAGACCCTGTCTCAAATACAAATAATTTTTTTTAAAAACCACAAATATTTACTGAGAGCCTACTTTTGCCTGGTCCAGTTCCAGTTACTGGTAATTCCTTAGGAGTAGACAAAATAGACAAAAACTCCCACCCTAATGGTACTTACATACTACTGGGGGATAACAAAATTAAGAAGTAAAATATGTAGATTGTGATCATCATTATGGAGAAAAATTAAAGAGGGAAGGAAAAGGGTAATAGAGAGAGTTGTTGTTTTAAGTATTAGGAGTGAAACCAGGCACAGTGGCTCACACGTCTAATCCCAGCACTTTGGGAGTCCGAGATAGGAGGATCACTTGAACCCAGCAGTTCGAGGTTGCAGTGAGCTATGATCACACCTCTGCACTCCAGCCTCAATGACAAAGCAAGACCCTGTCTATAAATAAATAAATATTAAGGGTGACTTTTGAATAAAGGCCAGGTGTTGTGAGAAGGGGAAAAGTAAAAAATGAAGTCAGAGAGTTTGGCAGGGACCAGATCATGAAGGTCCTTGGAGGCCGCTGTAAAGGACTCTTTGGTGAATGGGAAGGCACTTAGGGTTTAGAGAAGAGAGGTGTCATCTGACTTACATTTTAGAAGGCTCACTGGCCAGCTCTATGTTGAGAATAGACTGCAGGGCTGGAGGTACAGGGGGAAGACCAGTCAAGAGGCTATTGCTGATAGAGATGATGGTAGCTTGGATCACAGTGACGGAGATGATGAGAAGTGGTCAAATTCTGGATATATTTTTTTTAAGTAGGGACAGCGAGATTTACTGACATGGGGTATAAGAGAAAGAAGAGTCAAAAATTGCTCCAAGATGCCTGACCTGAGCAGCTGGAAGAATAAAGTTACTGTTGACAGAGATAGGAGTGGGTTTAGGGGAAAGATTGGGAGTTCACTTTTCAGCCTGTAAATTTTGAGATGCCTGTTATACATGTAAGAGGAGATGGCCAGGAGACAGTTCATGCCTCCTGGAGGATACTAGCCAATACATCTCCCATACAGACTCTACCCCTTTCTATACAGTACCCCTCATCTCTCTTGATCACTCCCAGAGACTTGGTCTGAATAGAGTGGAGAAGATGCAGAGAACAAGCCTAGAGGTTTGAGAGCCGGGTGTAGGGACTGTCAGCAGCTCAGGATCTGGGGCTCCTGAAGCCAACGAAGCCTCCGTAAGTATGTCTTAGGCACTAGAGGCAAACCCGGTCTGGAGGACTCTGAGGATGAGGTAAGCAGTGCCTTTGGGGAGGGGTGAGCAGGCTGGAGCAGAATCCACTCTGCATGGAGCTGAGAAGCAATGGGGACTCTGAATTTACTTGATCCTCAGGTCCTGAGAATGTCACCCAGCTGGATACCGGGAGTGAGAGGAGGAGGCGGACTTGCAAAGGAGGCTCTAGAATTTAGAATCTAGATCTCTCAGAAAGCTCAGAAACCTGGATGGGGAAACTGAAGATCCTTGCCCTGTGGCAGAGTAAGGGGTGGAATAAAAGGTAGCAGTGGAGGGCACAGTCATAACCTGAGTCCTGGGCAGCTGACTACTGTGACACCGCATAAGAGGCCCGGGTTTCTGAAGCCAGACGGACCTGTGTTTAAATCCTTGCTCTTCCACTTATTAGTTATGTGAGCCTGGGCGCCTCTTTGTAACTTCCATTCTTCACCAGTGAAATGGGAATGATAACACCAATCTTTTTAGGGTTTCCTGAATATTGAATTGGTTACCAGGTGTGGAAGCACTTTGTGAACCATAAAATGCTGCACGTTTATAAGGTGTTTTTTATTACTGCTTTGCTCCCAGGGATGAACCTGGCCTCTGCAGAGGTGGACAAGCGTGTTTTGAAGTTTGGTGTACACCCAAGGAGAAGCACTACACTACAGAAGCCCCAGCCTGAGCCAGCTTCCTGCTTCAGGCTGGTTCACCTCTGCTACATTTCCCCTGACCTAGCTCTGCTACGTTTCTGCAGGTCCCGACACAGCTACAGCGGCTGCTGCTGCCACCACTGCCGCCCAGTGGCTATTTCAGGAAAAGACCTCTCCCAACCCTCCCCAACCAGCACCCCTGATTGGCTTTTACTATCCTCACCCGGGACCAAGAGGAATGGAATGCAGCGGATCAGCCTCACTCTCTTCTGTGAAACTCTTCTTTACTTTGGTTTCTGTGACTTTGCTTTACTCCGGTTCTCCTCTTCCTCTGGATGTTCCTTCTGGCCCCTTCCCTGGCTCTTTTTTGCCCTACTTCCCCCACATGTGAGCCTTACCCCAAAGATTCCTCTCCTCTCCTCTCCTCTCCTCTATCTCCCTCTCCACCATCTCTCTCCCCCCTACCCCCACCCTCTCTTCCCCTTCTCTCTTGGAACATCTACTCTCATGATTTCAACTATGACTCAGAGGTTATCAAAAATTGGTAATGGCCAAGAGACTCCAGCATACAGATCTCTCTCTAATCAAAATGCATCTCTCCTTCTCTCACACTTTTATCACATTTCATTTCTACAGAGATGGCACATACCACAGGCAGCCTAGAATTATACTCATTTGTGGTTTTGGCCATCTCCTCCTGATCCTCCCACCCCCATACCAGAACCAGAGCTCCTTGAGAACATGTACCTCATTGTACCTCTGTCTTTCCCATAGCCTTCCAGGTGAAGTTATTATAACATATGTTCTAGATATTTTATTTCCAATTATATTCTCTGCTGTCCCCATAAAAATGCCTTCCAACTCAGAGTTAAGAAAACAAGTACCTTGCACATAGTAAGTGTTCAATAAATAGTTGTTGAATGAATGAATAACTTAATTATAATTTGTTGAATTGAATGGTTCCCACATCTATAATCTAAGCCCTATATATGTTGTTTGCTACAGGACACACACACTTGGGTTTCTCATTGACGTCTGGAATTTAGTATGCAGGAAAAGTTTACTATTTTTCTCATGACAGAGATAAATAAGATGTACAAATACCATTATTGCTGACACCCTTCCATTGCCCTACTCCTCCAGTTTGTTCCAGTCCTCTCCCTCCTGGCCCTTCACATCTAATATTCATAATTGTCTTGACGACAGTTTCTTTGCAAGATTTTCTGTTTCCTTGGAGCTTTAAGAAGGAAACGGAGAAGAGGCATGATTTCTAATATCTTTCTCTGAGTTAGGAGGAAAGGAAGGAAGGAAGGAAGGAAGGAAGGAAGGAAGGGAGAGAAGGAGGGAAGGAGGGAGGGAGGGAGGAGGGAAAGGAGGGATAAAGGTAGGAAGGAAGGGAGAGGGAAGAAAATGAGGGAGGGAAGGTAAGTGATATAGTGGAAAAAATGCAGGCTTGGAGTCAGACAGACCTAGGGTTGAACTCTGGCTCCATTGCCTGCCAGCTGTGACTATGGATAAGTCTTTCTGAACCTCCATTTCCTCATATGTAGAATGAGGATGCTAGCACCTAGCTTGTTGTGAGAAGACAATGAAGCAATGCATGTAAGGAACCCAGCAGAGTGCCCTCATTGTCGTTATTGAGAATTAAAGTATAGGTGTATTTGGAAGGTGTGAGGTCCACTCCAATTGGCTGAATTTTCTTTATGAAGTGAACAAATGGAATTACTTGCTGAGAGTAAGTGGAACAAGACAGTCACTCAACCTTGACGGAAAGGAGTAGTGATCTGAAGCCCTGGATGTCTAAACTTACTAATAAAATCATGGGGAAATGACTGGCTCCACATAGTTGTACCCAAGTTAGCTTTGTTCATATGTATTATCTGTAGTGTGCCCTTTTTGTCTTTCTACACACCCAACTTTATCTCCAGCAAGGCTGTTAACAACCTTAGAGTGGAGACCAGGACTAGTTTGTTCAGCGCCTAGGACAGCACAGGAAATCTGTTTCTGCGATTTAATCCATCTATCTCCGTTCCATCCTCCCCCACTGAGCTAATGCCTCATCCACATCCCACTTGAATCTTTTGCTATGTTTTCAGTTGCAATAACAGAAAATCCCAACTTAGATGACTGTTTTTAAAAAAGGAAATATATTATCTTGCATATAAGTTCAGTAGTGGGTGGCTTTGGAGCTGATTAATTCAGCAGTTCAACAATGTCATTAAAAAATCCTGATTCTTTCCATCTCTCTGATTTGAAACCTTGGCATGTTATTTAGCAACTTTCATGGTCACAGGGTGGCTATTGCCGGTCAGGCATTGTTTCCAGACATGGCAATATTCAATGGTAAAAGAGGAAGGCCTCTTCCTGTATGCTTATTTTTATCATTCAAGAAACCTTTCCCAGAATCTCTCCAGCATACCTCCTCTCACATCACAGTGGCCTGAATTTCACCATGCCTATAACTAAGCTGATCACTGGCAAGGGGGATAAAACGACCATGAGTGGCATAGAGGAGCACAGACCCATGCGGAGGAGGGTGAAATACCTTAAAAATGGGGATTCTTTCCACAAGGAGGAAGAGGGAGATGACTATTGAGTTGGTAAGCAATTCTGTCTGCTACAACCTTTTACTGAATAACCCACTCCTTCCTCATGCAGAGATCTGATCATCATTTTCTAACTGGAAGGTCTGGTTGGAGATATCACCCAGGTGTACAGAATGAGGGTGGGTAAGGACCTAAAAATATTTCCCCCACCAATGTATTATAGGGGCCAGAAACTCCATTAGATATGCATTCCTTTGCTTTCTTACTGTTGCATCCTCGTAAAATGCAAGTATTCCAGGTCAAAGTGAAACTTGTGACTGTTCTCTTCGGGAAGCTACTAACTGGAAAGAGGCACAAAGAAATTTTCTGGGGGAATGGAAATGTTCTATATCTTAACCTGGGTGGTGGTTATATGTGCGTTTACACAGGTGTATTAGTTTCCTATGGCTGCTGTAACAAATTACCACAGACTTGGTGACTTGAAACAATACACGGTTCTTCTCTTACAGTTCTGGAGGTCAGAAGTCTAAAATCAGTTTCAGTGGGCCAAAATCAAGGTTTCAGCAGGGCCATGCCTGAGCAGGAACAGCCATCTTGTGGCCGTGAGAGACTTTAGGGGAGAATCGATTTCTTTGTCTTTTCCAGCTTCTAGAGTTGTATTGCTTGCATTCCTTGGCTCATGGCCCCTTCCTCCATCTTCAAAGCCAGCAGCCTAGCATCTTGCTTCAGGCCTCATATTGCCTCCTATTTCAGAGTCAAAACTCTCTCTGCCCCTCTCTCATAAAGAGACTAGTGATTACATTAGGGCCTACCTGGATAATCTAGAATAATCTCCCCATTTCGAGATCCTTAATTTATTCACATCTGCAAAGTCTCTTTTTCATATAAGGTAACATTCATCGGTTCCTGGGATTAAGACCTGACATCTTTGGGGGGCATAATTCAGCTTGCCACAGTAGGTAAAAATTCATTGAGCTGCAGTTAAGATTTGTGAATTTTACCTCAGTCAAGAAATGCACAAACTTCTGGAAAAGAGTAATGATTCACATTCCATCATAATAATGAATTAAAGACCTAGCAGATCTACTCTCTTCCTACTGAGAGGTCCATGGATCTGAGTAGAAAGAGAAGAAAAGTGGGATTGAGTACCTAAAAGGGAGGTAGGAGCCTCAAGTGTGGGTCTAAAGACAAAAATAGGCTGACCACTAGTCATTCTAGAGATTCTGGGAAAGGTTTTCTGAATGATAAAAATAAGCATACAAGAAGAGAGGCCTTCCTCTCCTGCCATTGAATATTGCCATGTCTGGCATGAAAAGTAGATTCATTCTGACTTTTCACCTTCCTCGCAGACACCAACCTTGGCATGTATACAAGTCTTTCCTGTATGTCCAGCATCAGTTCCTATCCCACTGTGGTACCTGCAGAATCTGGGCTTCTCACACTATCTGAAAGTCCCTGAGAAGGAGAGAGTTATAGTAACTAAACAACCAGGCCCTGAGATGCATATTGGCTAGGAATGGCAGGGGCTGACACCGTGAACTGTGCAAAGAGAATATGGGACAGCTGTCCAGGGCCCTCAGTGAGGGGCAGGAGTTAGGGAAGGCCCTGTCCAGCCCTCTGAGTCATAGCCACAGCCATCCTCTGAGGAATGGACACCGCATTGTGGAGGTTGGGGTTAAGGGCTATGTCTACAGATAAGTACTAATGTCTAGACTGCTGTAAGGGGAGGTGAAGGAGGTCAGAGTCCGGAAACCCCAGAGCTTGTAGGTTCTGTCTCTACATTTTCTATGCCCGTGAAGCCTGAGCCTAGGCCCTGTGGGAAGGACAGTCAAGAAAGGAAGATTACTTTGTTGTTGCTGTTGTGGGGGTCCTGGCAGCTGCAGAGACAGAAATATCTCTAATTCCATGAGCGGTCATACGAGGCAAGAGAAGCTGCTTACAGCATGGACTTAGTTTCAGGGATTGGACAGAGTCAAGAGCTGGGGTGAGGAGGTTTACCCTAGGTAGGGGTGATAAGATGTCAGCCGCCTATTCCCTCGACATGCATGTCCTGCCAGAAGAACCTGTCCCCGGGCTGGGAATCTTATATTACCTTCCTCTCCAACGAGAAGAGAAGTTCAAGGCTCACAGACATGTGCACACACAGCTCAATGCACTCAGCTCCCCCTCCACCACTCCTGCCCCCACTACCTACAGGAGATTGACTCCTGCTGTGCACATAAGCTGGGATAATCGGGGTTTCTAAACATCAGCTTCAAGAGTCCAATGTCCCAAGTGGTGGGCGGCTTGGGGACGAGGTACTCTTTCCCATACCCTTGGCTTTTGTGTGGCCTGGAGCTGCTGATATAAAGATTGGAGTGTGACACAAGGTATTCCTTTCAAAAACACAAAGGCCTATACTTTGAGCCCTCCCATTTCAATCCCCCACCATGCTTCACCTTTAAGACCTCCAACTCCACTTTGATCCCAGTTCTCAGGTTCAAGGCCTCACAAGGCCAAAATCCTGAAGTTACCCTTCTCAAACTCCCCTGCCTTCAACATCATCAGAATCAACCTCCTACCCCCACTCTGTCCCAGCAGCAATAGCCTGCTAATCTTTTAGCCACTAATCTTTTAGGCACTAATCTGCTTTCCAAACTCTTGGCACCTGAACTATTTATAGCAGTGTTTCATGCCCCCCCAAGAACCCTATTCTTTTCTGATGACCCCCACCAATCAAAACACTCAGAGGACTGTGGGTATAAGAGGCTGGGGAGGCAGGCATAGCAACCAGAGCTGGAGACTGATGTGAACTTCATCTCTCTCCCCAGGTAATATTCCAGAGCCCTCGACTTCTAGCCCATACTAAACCCTATATCCCTTGCTCTTAGCATCCCCCTTAATATATCAGGCAGCAGTTGAGGGACACCCTTCCTGACATAGCCTATAGACATTCAGGCCTAGAGACCCTCCAAAGACCTCTGGAAGCTCCCCTAAGCTCACCCCCTGGCCAGGCTCAGTAAGCATCAAAGAGAAGCCCTAGAGAGACATCTCCCTCTCTCTAAGGATTCCCACCCAAAGGCCTAGCCCCTGGGGACCTGGACAGGGATAAGAATGGGAAAATCTAGGGAAGGCAATGAGAGGGATGAGTTGGTTCAAGGAGGACTTTCAACCTCCAAAGAGACTTCTGTCACCAAAAACTGAGAGTATGAAGGCACCAACCCCTTCTCTCTCACACTCTTCTCCATTCTTTGTTGACAGTCAAGGCCATCATGAGGTGAACTCAGGCTCAGGATCCATTGCAGTAGCAGAAGGAGACAGAATCCATTCATTTGTTCATTCATTCATTCATTCATTCATTCATTCATTCATGTATCCCACAAACATGTCTTGGCACCTAGTGTGTGCCAGGGGATGTCTAGCCTCATACAGACCAAGAAACACATTTTTCTCAAACTTTTCTGGATGGAAACCTCTGTCCAGCCTCTTTCCAGAGAAGTTCCTTCTCTCTGAGGGCTCTCAAGAGTCCCCCAGCCATTCTAGGAAGTTTGGCCCTTTCTGGAGAATAGATAGTATGGTTAGTCAATGATTTGTACAAAATAGGAAAGTTTTTTTTCCCCTCTTGCCCAAGATGGGCAAGAATACGGCTGAAGAAGTACCCTTGGCAGAAGGGAGAATAGGAGGTACTTGATGTGGGTGAGGTGTCTATCTAAGGAAGAAAGGTTACATCACACTAGGTGTATATGGATGGTATGCTGGAGTGGGGTGAGAAGAATGGAAATGAAATGATTGAGCCTTTCTTCTTTCCCTTTTCCCAGAAAAGGCTCAACATCAACTATATAGCCAACATGTCCAAGTAAGAACTCCTTCTAATCTTTTGAATCTGTGAATTGCTCCCTACCCCAATCCAAGTATTTCCCTTTGGGGTAGGGGGATTTCCAATCTCTCCCTAACTTGTGTCCTTGGATTCTATCCCAATTATCTCTACCTTTGCCCCATCCTATGCTCCTGGAGCCTCTTCTCCTAATCCTAAGAATATTTCTTTTCTCCCCACTTCCCTTATTTCCTCTTCCCTGCACTTCCAATCCCCCTCTCCATCCTCTTTCTGGTTTTCTCCCCATAGGGTGTTTAAGAAGACCAGCTCCAATGGGAAGGTGAGAGAACCTGGCCCAGCTGGGCAAATGAGAGGGCAAAAGGGATAGGTGGGTACATCCTTCAAGGTCTCAGGGATCTGGGTTGGGGGCTTCAGGGGAATCCGTTCCAAAATGATTGTGAGAATAACATGCAAAGTTGTTCCACAACAGCTCTCCATCTACCTGGGGAAACGGGACTTCGTGGACCATGTGGACATGGTGGAACCCATTGGTCAGTGAGTCCAAAAAGGGGAAGCCTGGGGAAAGAGGAATGGAAACTAGGGAGTAAAAGAAAGTCCAGGAGAGACTGTGCAGAAAAGGAGGCAAATTAAAGGGAAGAATGGGAAGAACCATTTCAGGGATCATCTTCTATTTCATAGTCTTGAGAGCTTTTCCTGACCAAAGTGCTGTCTGTCCTTCTCTCCACAGATGGTGTAGTCCTGGTTGATCCTGAGTACTTAAAAGGTCGAAAGTGTAAGTGGAAATCCTTGTCGGTCTTTGTGTGTTTCAGACAGGTAACTCGATGAGTGGATTGCACCAGAGTATAAGAAAACCAGAAAGTGGCAGGAACTGCGAATGCCTTCTCTGGTGGAGGCTGACAACTGGGAATTCCAGCCCAGTGTGGCCAAATTTTATAATTGTTAACGAGGAACCGTAAATGAAGCTCAAAATAAGACTTTTAGAGGCCCAAAGTGTGAAAAGATTATGGTGCCCCCTTACCCAAATCATATTCAAAGTAAATATCTAAAGCATAAATTAAATTTTATTTTTCAAAATTGCACAAAACTTACACTCGTGCTGAAATTAAAATAGCTTCTTTCAGAATTTCGGATTTTCTCTATTATTACTGGTGGTGGCCCTGCTTGGCTATTGATCTGAATCTTAGACTGCCTATAGAATGATCCAATAAGTCAGAAATCCATATTTTAATGCAGATTTCCTGATTTTCAAATGTTGGCAACTCACTAAAAGACTTTAGAAGCCTGGATAGATTATAAACTTTTTTTTTTCTGTTGGTTAGATGTGACCTTCAGGCTGCCATTTTGCAACCTCTGGTATACGTGTTTCCATCTCCTTTTTTGTGTAGTGAAACTGACCTTTTATTCAAGGAAAAATTTCCAAACAAAAACCAAAACAACAACCACAGGAAGTAACCGTAAGAAACATTACTCTGGCAGCACTACTACAGATCAAGATTATGCTGATTTTTGTTGTTGTTGTTGCTGCTTTTTTTCCTTTTAATTCTCGCTGTGGATTAACCCCACTGTGATCCAACTAGACTGAAAATTGGGGTTGATTTGAAAAAGGTGCTGAATGGGTTGATGAGTACTAGTTCGGATGTAACTGTTAGATATTGGAGAATAAAGTAGCCTAAATCTCTCAGATTAAGCAGTGTGAATAAGCAATCAAGTCGGTTTTAAATATCAGAGGAACTTTGGGATAGACTCATAAATTAACCAACTTATTTAAGGTTCCCAAGTATTCTATATTTCTAAAACCTAAATCATTTTTTCACATTTCTACAAAATCTTCACAAGCTCTGGAAAGAAATCTTTAGTTAAAAATATATGTTGTTCCAGGAAGAGAATGAATTTTTCCTTTTATTCTAATCTTTTTTTAATGTCCCCTTAGTAGAGTTTTATATTACTTTTCATTTAAGTTGTGCGTATTTCTTGTTTATTCTTAGTTTTTCAACATGGTTTATTACCTCTATGAAGATTGTCTTGTTTGCGTCATATTTTCCAATTTTTTTTTAATCAAGGTACATTTGTGGATGTAAAATATGCTTAATCTGTACTGTGGAGTGATAAAGGCCAGTGATAGGGCAGTATATGTGATAGTGTGAACAAATTGTTGTTTAACAAAAATATATCTACAATCTCTCTCTGTATAATTTCTTACAACTGCATGTGACTCTACAGTGATCTCAAAATACAAAGTTTAACTTCAAAAAGGCAATGAGAGAAAAGTAAAAAATACCTAAGGTGGCCTTGCGTTCAATTCTAGCAACAGACAAAGTTGAGAAGCACACATAACAGATATTAACAGTAGTTATCTGTGGAACATGATATATTATGGTGGAGCTTTGATTTGTCTTTTTGTTTGTATTTTCTGATGCTCAGACAATTAACATATATTTTGCAGAATAAACACAACTATACATTAATAACTTTAGAATACACACTGACTTTCAAAGAAAATAAAAACAAGCTATTTCCTAGCATGCAATAAAAGGACAATGCTAAACTGCTAGAGAGCCAATTAGAGCTTCAGTTGGGGGTAGGAGTTGCATGATGCAGTTGATGTCTTAGTCTGCTGCCCTCCCAACACAGGAACAGAAAGCAATTCCAAGTAACAAGTCATCTGATTAACATCCTTACCTCAGGTGCTACTAGATCCCCTTCTGCCTCACCCATCCTGACCTTTTCTTCTGTCTCATTCCTCATCTTTTTCATTTCTTCTCTCACCCTGCCTCCTACCAGCCACCTCTTTTCCTCTCCTTTTTCCTTTCTGTCTTTTTCCTTTCCTTTATGCTTTATTTTCCTTTCTTTCTTTCCTTTCTCACACTATAATTGGCCATAATTGAGAACAAAAGTGAATCTATTTGTTGTATCTTTTGAAAATTATTAGGTTTGTCTCCATTGTAGAAAAATTAGAAAACATTTGATGATGAAGGAGAGACTGTGTAACCTTACCATCTTTAATCACTAATCTTTTGATCTTATTCATATTTTCTGTGCAAACATCAAAATTTTAACTAAAATGCTATACTACAAATAATATTTTATAATCTTTTAAACCTGTGTCAATATATACAGATCTATAACTTTTTAAGTTGCCTAGTACTATATTGTATGGGGATACCACGATGCCCTGCAATGCACATCTTTTTCTCACTTGTTCAATTATTTCTTTAGGCTAAATGCCTAGAAGAGGAATTAACGGCCAAAAGGCATTCACACATTTTTTTTTTTTTT